ACCAGTGTTTCGAAATTAAATTCATCAGTTCTTCTTCCTCAGCAAAACTAAAGTTTTTACTTTTTGATGGTTTTTTATCTATGTCGTATATTAATTACACGTTCACTAATTATAAAATTACCTATTTTATAAATTTTAACTATAAGTTAAAATTTAAAATAAAACTAGTTATGAGCTTATGACACGCAGTGATATCTGGATAACACTGATAACAGTTTAAACTTTTTTTAATGATAGTGGTGGTTAAAACAGTGGATTACCGAATCGAACTCTGACGGGGTATTGTAATACTACTTTTCTGATAACGGACCGTAAAAGACAAAACCGCGGTTAAATTGATAACCGAGGCGTAAACAGACGATCAGGTAACCGAAGATATAATCATGTATTGTAATACTGGCCCTTAATACTTCAAATAATATATTATAAGTCTATGATTAAAATAATATCTTTGTGATAATAAATTTGGCAGGAATTTAAAATTGACCAACGGGATTGCATAGTTGAACACAGGTGCCGAAGCGGACCCCAGAATGCTTATATGCTACCGGGCTGTCCGCATAGACCGGTCCAAGTTCCTAAACCATTTTTTTTCTTAACCCATCAAATTTTATTAGTACATAACAAGATTTAATTTATAGACCCTTAAGGCGGCTCTTAGTGGTTATTATTTAAGGGGAAAAAATTTAGGCAATTTCTTATCTTGTTGTCGCCGTCCGTAATCTTTGTGTTAAGGTTGATTCGCACTATACGGAACGTCAACGTCACGTCACCGATCGGCAACGTCACGTCAAAAATAGAATACATTCGCATTATCGGTAACGTCACGGAAAAGCCATCAGTCCATCCAGTCCAGAATTCTGTTAGGTTAAACTAGGTCTAGTACATTCTGTGTTTTAAATTCATTTTTTTTTTTTATTAAATATTCGTATTTGTATCATGCTGAAGTTCACTAAAAAACAATTAGCAATGATTGCCTTAATTTTGGACGACGAAGAAAAAAAATTTAATCGTACTAAGAAAACGTGGGTACGAAAAATGTTTACTGCGAGGAAATTCGTAGGAGAATTTCACACATTATTTAAAGAATTAGAAGATGAAGAAATTTCTTTCTATAAATATTTTAGGATGTCACAAAGTCAATTTTATGAACTTTTAACTAAAATTCAAACTAAAATTCAAAACCAAAACACTACATTCCGAGAAGCTATTAGTCCCAAGGAAAAACTAATGGTCTGCTTAAGGTAAGAAATAAAAAAATTAGTATTTTATATTTTGTATTTTTTGTATTTAAACAAACTAGTTAATATTATTATTAATAAACTTATTACTTTAACTGTGTTAAAAGTTAATTTGGCTGAAAATTTTCAAAATAAGATTGTGCAGATGACCTTCCGGAACTTACAGGTAAAGGTGTTGTGACTAAACATAAATGAATCATTTAGAGTAGATGAGTTTGACGCACGTGAAATTTCATAAATTTGTTGTTGTGGATGGACTGCTTGTTGGATGTTTTGAGTTTGAATAAATGGTATTGGGTGTATATTTGACCTGTTGTCTGGAGCTGGAAAATTCATTGATGTTGGCACTTGGTAATTTGTATTCTTACTTTGTAAATGTGCCCACTCTAGTTCGGATTCAACATTGAAAAGTTTTGACTTTGCCATATGCTGGTACTCGGGTGAAAAAGTTTTTACAGTAGCGGCTAGACTATTGAAAAATATGTCTATTGGATGATCATTAGCAGTGGCTTTTGTTTCTTGCTTATCACTTTCTACTAAATATTTCATTAGTACAGATGAAGCTGTCTCTGTTTTTTCAAATTTTCTTTTGTTTAGCAAATACCTAGATGAACTTTTTTTTGGAGATGCTGTAGATTTCTGATTTATGTTGTTATTAGAATTTTGTTCTGAAGTATCCCCAGTAATAACAACGCTCTCCATACCTTCGTGTTCATCATTCGATCCATCACTCAAGCTATCAGGTTCTGCTATGTTGGTTTATGTTTCTCTTTCTTTAAAAAATGGAATTACAAATGACATTGAATCTTCATACTTCCACTTCTTTTAAAGTTCAGCGGCTTGTCCACTTTTTGTAATATTTTTTCTCATTGCTTTTCTCAGCTGGTCACGTAATGAGATCCATCTATTCTTGCACGCTGGGCCTATTAAAAATATAAAATTTGGTTATAACAAAAAGTGTTTTAAAGTTTCAATCCTTAGCTATAGAAACTAAAAAATGTATGAATTTTTAAAAAAAATCGTGCCTATGTATCTCAATTTTTTTTAAACTGTGATTATAAAATTTTACGAAGCACCTTGTATTTAATTTTCAAAGACTTTTGGCTAACAAAAAATTTGTTATTGACAATATTATAGAAAAAAAAGGTTGATAAGTGGATGTAAGTTGACCTCCTGAAGCACCAACTAGATTCACTTTCCTATCATAAGAGATACTGTTGAAGAAAATCTAAGCATTTTTACTGTCCTAAAACGTGATGACAGACACAAAAATAAAAAAATTTAAAATTTAAAATTTAAAAATAAAAAAAAATACACATCATTGTGAAATCAATACATTCATCGTTTCACTCAGAATCTAAAATTTGTATTTGAAATGTATATATAAATAGCTCAAAACGTGTCGAAATATTTTGAATATTTAATTATGAATAGAAAATCGTAATATAAACATTTGGTAAAAACTGCAGGTAGGTATCTACGGTTATTCGTCTTTGAATTATAACAAAATAATAAAATCGATTCAAGATAAATCGCTCTGTTCAGAATCTAATATTTTGGTTATTCGTATACGGTTTAATACTTTTAACGCATGTTTGGTAATTACTTGAATAAAAATAACTTATAAATTAAAACATTTTTGTTAATTTAAATTTAAATTTATTATATTGTCCGAACAGTTTAACAGTTATGTAAAATTAATTATTTAGGTTTTTAGCGACTGGTGATTCGTTTCAAACTATATCATTCAGTTATCGGCTGGGGCATTCGACTGTTCATTACATTGTTAAAGAAGTATGCAAAGCTATAGTAGACGAATTGTTAGCTGAAGTGATGCCGCAACCAAAGGAAAAAGATTGGGAAAAAATTGCTGATGACTTCTGGAAAATGTGGAACTTTCCTAATTGCTTAGGAGCATTAAATGGGAAACACGTGGAAATTTTTGCTCCTCCGAACAGTGGTTCCCAATATTTCAATTATAAGAAAACTTTTTCTATTAATTTGTTAGCTTTGGTTGACGCAAATTATAAATTCATTGCTGTAGATGTAGGATCCTACGGTAAGAATAGTGATGGTGGAATATTTGCCAATTCAAATTTAGGAAAAGCGTTGGAACAAAATAAACTACATGTTCCAAAAGATAAAAATCTCCCCGGAACTCAATGTCCAGTGCCATATGTCATTGTGGCGGATGAGGCATTTCCCCTAAAAACCTATCTATTAAGACCTTATCCTGGTTCTAAAATTAATGGTGATATACAGAAACAAGTATTCAATTATAGATTGTCAAGAGCTAGGCGCGTATCCGAAAACGCATTCGGAAACTTGGTGCAAAAATTTCGAATCTTTTTTAGAAATATAAAATCTTTACCCGAAAATGTTGACAATATTATATTAACTACTTGTATTTTGCATAATTATATCAAAGATAATATTTTAATTACCCAACATTTAGACCCACCAGAATGTGAACCTAATTGGGGACGTATACATAGACAAGGTGGAAATGCCCTCACTACTGCTTTTAATGTGCGTGAAACCTATAAAACTTTTTTTAACTCTGAAAATGGATCATTACCATGGCAGAGAGATAAGTTTATGTAAAATTAAAAAATAAAAGCTGTAAAAGTAATATTAAGTACCTAATAATAAGTAATATTAGTTAAATTAAGTTTATATCTAGGTACCTGTTATTTTCAATTCACTACCAATTTTTCTCCAGATATTATCTTTGTGAATGTTGTCGCTATATTTTTTATGCGTCATATCATACAGTTCTTGATATTGGCGTACTTCCTCAATCAACATCTCATCGTTCATGACTATTTAATGTTTAAACTATTAATATGTTATTTCATTTTCTACTGTAAATTGGAGAATTAAATAAATATTGTTTACTTACTTTATATGTCTATATTTTTGTATTTAAATATTCAAAAATTATAATTTTTAGTTAACGAGCTTACACATTCAAAATATAGTTTATTTAAATTGTTGACGGAAACGTTCCGTGTTGACATTCATACTATCCGTAAGGACAAGAACGGACCGGTTACGTCACGTCAAAATATAGTTTTCGATAAACGTTGCCGTTCCGTGATGTTGACGTTACGTAATGTTGCCGGTGTATGTGAACATTGCGGTATAAAGGTCGATTCACACTATAAGTAACGTCAACGTCACGTCACAGACCGGCAACGTCACGTAAAATTTGTTATACATTCACATTAACGTCAAACGTCATTACGTCAATGTCAAATTTTAGGAATTATTGCAGTTAGGTTGAGTTTACAGAAGTGGATCTATGTACGAACTATTTTTTTTTTGTGATCATATACTAATATAATTACTATATCATTATGCCAAAATTTAATAAAAAAACGTTAGCGATAATTGCAATTATTTTGGATGAGGAGGAAGAGAATAGTCACCAAAAACGTAGAACAACATGGGTTCGAGAAATGTTAATTAAGAGAAAGCAATTTGGGGAATATCATACATTGTTCAATGATTTACAAGATGAAGAAACTTCATTTTACAAATATTTTAGAATGTCACAACATCAATTTTATGTTTTATTATCTAAAATCGATCAACAGATTACCAAAAAAAATACAACATTTCTAGAAGCTATAAGTGCTAAGGAAAAGTTAATGGTGTGCTTAAGGTGAATATAATAATAATACACGTTTATAAAATAAAACAATATTTTAAACTTATTACTTGTTTATTTACTTTCAAAATTATATTTTACTATTATTATAACACCTTACGTGATTTAGTATTTTAACAAAACATTATTAATAGATATTTTATTGTTTAACTTTATATATTATATTGTATATTTGTAGGATCAAAGTTTTCATAAAAATGTTGGGTAGATGATGTTGTTGATGATGACGATGGTCTTAAAACAGGAGATGGTGTTGGTGTTTGGACGTATTGAATGTTGTTTTGTGATGGTGCCATTTCAGTGTTAGAGCAAATGTATGATGTTGAAGGATATATTGATAGTGGGATTTGATGATTTGCTGTTTTATTTAGCAATTGTGCCCACTCTAATTCAGACAATATTGCAAACATTTTGGTTTTTGCCATGTGTTGGTATTCTGGTGAAAATGTTTTGACTGTAGCTGCCAGCCCTTGGAAAAATATGTCGATTGGATGCTCACGAGATGTTGCCTTTGGTTCATCTAATAAATATTGCATTAAAACAGATGATGCTGTTTGTGGTTTATTTTTTTTTTTTGCATTAGAATAATATGATGCTGGCATTTTCATTTTTTTTGGAGATTTTGTTTTTTGTGATACCGACCCCATAACTTTATTACGTTTTAACGTAGTTTCTTGTTCACTTTCTTCATTCTCACTTAGAACATCTTTATTTATATTTTTGTCATTATTACTGGACATTTCTTCGTCATTTGACTCTTCGCTATCACTTTCCGGAGATACTATGTTAGAAAACGTTTCTCGTTCTTTAAAAAATGGTATTACAAAAGACATGCAGTCCTCATACTTCCATTTTTTTTGTTTGTCAGCTGCTTGTCCACTTGTTGTTTTTTTCTTTTTTATTGCCTTCCTAAGTTGATCTCTGAGTGAGATCCATCGAATTTTACATATTTTCCCTGTGAATATAATAGTATAATACTTAATAATATAATAGAATAACTTATGAGGAACTTTGTATTAAATTTTTAAGCATTTTGATTCCGCCAAAAATTTTTTATTGATATTTATAAAATAAAAAACTAAATAAAAACGAATATTTCAAATTCCTATAAATAGTATTAAAATAAGCAAAACATTTTGAAAATTAAATTATGTGAATAAAATGCCAATCTAAATAGCTGTTAAAATTTAAAGTCTCTACTACTTATACTTTTTGAATTATAACAAATATTAAAAATCGTTTGAAGCATTATTTTGACAAGTTATGCTGTACCCAGACACAAAAAGAAAAAACAAAAAAAACTCATCATTGTAAAATCAATACATTCATCATTTCATTGAGAATATAAAATATATATTATATATTTTTTTAATGAAATAATGAAATATAATAATTATAACGGTTCTATATTATGTCATTATACTCGAGGTTAGGTTGAAGAAATGATTAAAAAAAATGTTTTTTGTTTTTCGTATTTTTCGTATTTCATATTATCAATTAATAATCGTTATAAAAAATCACGCCGTTCGATATAAAATTTATAAGTGAAATTACATATTTAATTTTTAGATTCTTAGCAACTGGTGACTCATTTCAAACCATTGCATTCAGTTTTCGCTTGGGACATTCTACGGTTCATAATATAGTGAAGGATGTGTGTGTAGCCATTATAGATAAGTTATTAGTTGAAGTAATGCCACCACCAAAAGAAAAAGACTGGGAAAAAATTGCAGATGATTTCTGGAATATATGGAATTTTCCAAATTGTTTGGGAGCAATAGACGGCAAACATGTGAACATTTTCGCCCCACCTAATAGTGGTTCACAATTTTACAATTATAAACGGATATTTTCAATTGTGTTGATGGCTCTAGTAGATGCGAATTATAAATTCATTGCCATAGATGTAGGCTCTTATGGGAAAAATAGTGATGGTGGAATTTTTGCCAATTCTAGTTTTGGAAAATCTCTAGAGAAGAATAAATTAAACGTACCTAAAGATAGAAATCTTCCTGGAACTCAAACTCCAGCGCCTTTTGTGATTGTTGGAGACGGGGCATTTCCATTAAAACCTTATTTGCTTAGACCATATCCAGGAAAAAAGATAAATGGGGACGTAGAAAAACAAGTATTCAACTATAGACTGTCTCGAGCTCGTCGTGTGTCAGAAAATGCTTTTGGAAATTTGGTACAAAAATTTAGAATTTATTTTAGAAGTATAAATTTATTCCCCGAAAACGTAGATAAAGTAATATTGACAACATGTATTTTACATAACTATATCAAGGATAATATACCGATGACACAAAATTTAGACCCTATCGAAGGCGAACCCAATTGGTCAAATCTACCAATGCAAGGAGGAAATGCAGAATTGTTTGCATTTAATGTACGTGAAACTTACAAAACTTTTTTTAATAGTGATATTGGATCAGTGGCATGGCAAAGAGACAAATTTGTACAATAATTATAATATTATTATTATTTATTATTATTTTATATTAAAATTTAAAACAAAAAACTGTATTATTATCACTAGTGGAAATAATAAAATAAAATAATAAAATTATGAAGTTGCACATACCTGTTGTATTCAATTCTTTTCCAATTTTTGCCCATACTACATCTTTATGATGATTATCACAATACTTTTTATGAGCCATATTGTAAAATTCATCATATTGACGAACTTTTTCTATTAAAATTTCATCATCCATGAAAAAATAATGAAAAACAACTTAAATATTATTATTTAAATTAACTTAAATTTGACGGAAACGTTCAGTTTTCACATTCACACTATCCGATCGGACAAGAACGGACCGGTTGCGTCACGTCATAATATAGTTTTCGATAAACTTTGCCGTTCCGTGACGTTGACGTTCCATAATGTTGCCGGTGTATGTGAACATGGCGATATAAATACATGGGAAGATATTTTGACGTGACGTTGCCGGTCTGTGACGTGACGTTGACGTTACTTATAGTGTGAATCGACCTTAAATACATAATAAGATATTTTGACGTGACGTTGCCGATCGGTGACGTGACGTTGACGTTCCGTATAGTGCGAATCGACCTTTAGTCGTAAATGATTATTAGTGTGAGTATGGTTCTATATATATACCGCCACTTCCGCCCCGTCCATCAAGTATAGCGTACTACGTCGCTTCTTCGAAGTTGCGTGTCGTATCGTTATCGTAAAACTATTTTTGGGATTTTACAATTATAATTTACCAGATAATGTATTATAATTAATTATTATGACTATACTTGTCAAATGGATTTATTTTTATTACATATGGTAGGTATTGGAAATAGGAACAATAAGTATGTAGAATTTAAACAGGTTTGTACAATTTAAAATCACTTTTTTTTGTCATGGACATAAATACGTAATTATAATAACAAATAATAATATTTTACGTAAAATTATTAAAAAGTAGATTATAACTAATCTCTAATAGGTAAACCACGATTTAAACGGGAATCTAATATTTCAAGTAGCAAATGGTCATAGTAGTGATGTCCTAAAAAAATCGATTCTGCAAAGAATCGATTTTTTTATATCGATAAATCGATTTTTTGAATCGATTCTTGGACGGACCGATTCGATTCGATTCGATTTGATAAGAATCGGCAATTTTTTTTCCGCGTTTATCTTTACTGGCCTTTCTGGCTTCTGCTGACTGGGTGCCATGAACGGTGCGTTAATATTTGGACCGAGATATTGGCCACCCTGCATTATTAATTAATAATTATTACTCTGTGAAAGTGTGAACACTGAACTGTGCGACGTGCGTTTCATTCGTGAATCGTGAAGCGTTCTTATTATTCGTGATCGTCTTTCTTTCCGTTTTTCGTTCTTTAAGAGTGTAGACGTGTAGTTCGTACCTCCGCCTCCTCCGACATTTTGCAGTTCGCGCGTGGTATACAGTTTTTATTTTTTTGATTGGTAATTATATAAAATAAAACACTTGTAGTTTGTACACGTCGAAATGTCGTCAAAATCTCGAAGTTCAATTTGGACCTTTTTTGAAAAAACATCTGATTTGGGAGTTGTTAAATGCAAACTGTGTGAGGCTCCAGTCAAGCCATGTGGTAACACAACCAATATTCGCAACCACATGAAGCGAAATCATGCTTCTATTAATTTAGACAAGGCTTTTGTCAGTAAGACAGAGGTTCGTCGAACATCTGTTTCTTCAACTCAATCAGTGGCATCAACTAGTTCGAGGAATTCAATGATGTCAACTGCATCTACAAGTTACTCTCGACCACAACATGAAGATGTTGACGATCCTGATGATCCTGGTGACAATGATTTTGCTGAGTTAGCTAAGACCATTGTAAATAAGGTAAGATACTAAGATGCTAAATTACTAATAATGTGCTTAAAACCAATTTTTTTTTTATTATAGACTCAACAGACACAAGGCAACGATTCCGTGGTATCATTTACTAGTGGATCTATACCAACAACATCGTCATCAACATCAAGTACTCCACAGTCAGTGAGCTTCAGGCAGAGAACAATGCACGAGTCTTTTTCGGACATCAAATCTTATGATAGTAAGAGTAAATTTTTTAATTCATAACTATAAAATTATAATAAATTGTCTAAATTATTTTAGAAGGAGGATATAAGATACGAGCTATCACGGATGCGCTTGTGTACATGGTAGCGAAGGATAATCTGCCGTTGTCTATAACAGAAAAACCAGGATTCCGGTTCTTCATGCAGAAAACAGTGCCTATGTACAAAGTTCCATCCAAGCAAACTATAACAAAGCACATCAAAAGTAAATATGAGGTTTTATCCGCATTAGTTAAATCTAAGCTGAGTCTTGTAGAGCATTTAACCTTAACGTCGGATATTTGGACAGACATTCTTAACACAAGAAGTGTTTTGGGCATGACGGTACATTTTTTAAGTTTAAACAAAGTTGCTCTTGAGAGTGTGACACTTGGTGTGTTAGAGCTTTCTGCCAGCCATATATCTGACAATATATCCGCTTGGTTTGAGCATCTTCTTCTTCAGTGGGGTATAACAAAAAGCCAGATATTCACCGTCGTCACCGATAATGGTGCTAATATATTATCTGCTGTTAAAAAAACTTTTGGCCAAGAAAAACATTTACCATGTTTTGCCCACACTCTGAATTTGGTATCCGAAAGGGCATTGGTTAATCTTGCAGATGTACATAATATCATCAACAAAATTAAGGCTATTGTAACTTATTTCAAGCAATCTGTAGCGGCTTCTGATGAACTTCGAAAATTGTGCGATCATAAACTAAAACAATCGGTACCAACACGTTGGAACTCCATTTTTTTTATGATAGATAGATTTATTTTATGTTCCAACCATATTGCTTCTGTATTAATCAATATTCGCCGGGGCCCCGAAATGTTGTCAGCTGATGAAATTGATGTAGCAAAGGAAATGTTGTTAGTGTTAAGGCCGATGGAAGTGGCGACAAGAGAATTATGTGGTCAAAAATATGTAACTGGCAGCACGGTGATACCCTTAATTAATTGTCTTATTAAAAAGACTGAGTATATTGATCTAACCCATCCAACTGCTTTATCCTTAAAAAAGGCAATGTTAGAAAATCTAGATAAAAGGTTTGGTAGGATGGAGGAGAGAAGTCTCCTTAGTGTTGCCACTATATTAGATCCCCGGTTCAAAACTATTTATTTGAATAACCCAATGTCTAGTTCAAGAGCTATTAAATTTATAAAAAATAAAATTGATAAAATAAAACGTAATTGTGAAGAACCTAACTCCTCAAACCAAGGCTCTAGTGATGATGATGGTGAACGCAGTGATAGTTTGTGGTCAGTTCACAATGATCTAGTTTCAAAAAAAGCTGCATCACAAAGTTTAGAACAGTCTGAAGAGCGAATGCCAACTGAACTTAAGCATTATATAAGCCAGCCCACAATACTGTTAGGTGATGACATACTTAAATATTGGGATATAAATGGCAATATGTTCCCTCTCTTAAAAAAAAAATTGTACAACCATATTTGTCTTTAGTAGCAACTTCTGTCCCTTCGGAAAGATTGTTTTCAAAAGCGGGAAATATAATGACCGAAAAAAGAAACCGATTAAAGGGGGAAAAGTTGCAACAGCTTTTGTTTCTAAGTTCTCTAAATTTTGAAGACTGGCACATAGAATAAAAAAAGTTGTTTTTATTGTGGGATGTAATTATTTGTAAATATGTATAGTGTAATGTATCTGTACAGCCTTTTGTATATAAAATGTATTAATATGTATAATGTAATTATCTGTATATTATTTGTAAATATGTAAAATGTATCTGTACAGCCTTTTGTATATAAAATTTGTTAATATGTTTAACGAGTTAAAAAGTTAAAGTTAATTTAATTTTAACTTTTTAACTTAACTAGTTACTTTTCGCAAATTGTCAAATTGTAGTTAAAGTTGTAATAGTTATTGTAAAAAATTATGTCAAAGTACCAATGATATAAAAAACAAAAAAAAATACAGTGTTTACCATAATCATTGTTGTATTATTTATCTACCTACCTACATTAAATACCTAAATCCTAACTTAGTCAACTCAAACTTAAATTTCAATATTATTTACATATATTTGTATTGTATCTGATTCTTACTTATTTTTTTTTATTTATATTAACAAAAAAATATAATAGTATACAAAATGTGGGAAATATTACTAGAAGTTACTCTACACTGCAGAAGAACCTTGTGTCGTAGAGTATGAGTACTTATTATTCAGTGCCAAACACAGTGGATAAATAATAATAATAACTTTATAGTTAATATTATTAAATATTATTGTAGAACAATTATATGTTACTGATAGTACACACTACATAACATCAAGTATGTTATTATAATGAGGTGTAAAATCCGTTTATGACAGTATAAGGTCATTTAAAAATATTGAGTTTCAAAATTCAAATTACTTGTACAAGTAATTTGAAACAATTGGAAATCATTTAACAAAAATATAATGTACCAAAATAAGTAACTTGTAAGTAACTACTTCCAGCCCTGCCTAAGTGGTAATTAAACATAAATAATTAATAATTTTTTAACTAAGTTAAACATTTTCTTATAATTACAATTTAAGTGTTGAATATATTGTTTGTTAATTATTAACTTAACTATTTTTTTTCATCAATTTTCCAACTTTTGATGATGTCAAAATTCAATAATGTATCTATTAGGTTCTTTTATAGACTTTTGTTATTACAAATAATATACTGACTTCTGAGACTTCTGAGACTATGCTCTATAGAAACCCATTCCCCTTCTAGTCAATTAAAAACATTTTTGAAAATTGAATATACAATTTTTTGAATTTAAAAAAGCACCATCTAGTTGTTTAAAAAATCGTTATTTTAAGAATCGATTCCCCAAAAAATCGATTTTTTGGGCAACGATTTTTTTGAATCGATTTTTTTCATTCCGATTAAAATCGATTCACCGACCTGAATCGGCCATCACTAGGTCATAGTAAAATGAAATTAATTGTCGCATTTGTAATTCAAAGAAAACATCGTCGCATTCGGAAAACGCGTATTCGCGGCGTGTTCTTTGGTCGGTTATCGCTTCGTCATGTATACTCCTGTTTGTTTTTTTACGATTCGATAATCTATTTATCCATATTGAATACGTGTTTTTTGTTTTCGACGTCTTCATCCTCGGACGCCTCCGTGACCTCATCAGTACTGTCTCGATAGCGTATCTAGCGAAACCACAGCCTGGTTTCGCTAGTCTCCAGCGGTGGTTCTCGGGCCTGGTACTGCCAGGGCGGAACGTCCGCTAACGAACGACACCGGTTACCAGCGTGGCGTGCGGGGTTGGGCTCCGTACGCGTCCGCTATAGACCGGAGCGTTTGCCTGATCTGGTGGTCGGCGGTGACGCCGTTCCACGGGCGTGAAGGCCAAGGTCATCCCGTGGCGCGGGGCCTCTCACCGGGTAGTCGACTCGTCGGCTACCCGGAAAGAGGTTATGGCGCCGATATTGCTCCTTCTGAAACGCGGCCAGCTGCGTGAATGATGTAATCGTTAGGTGGGTGTTGGGCCGCCTTGACCACTGTGAGGGTCCAGGCGAGCCGTCCCCGGTAGGCGATGGCCCCGGTCACGCCTAGGCGCGGCCTGGTGGACCGATATTAGGGATATTGGAAGGACACTGGTGGAAAGGCGCCCGTACCGACGGATCGAGGCTTCCTCGTAGCGGTAGATGTAAACGGCGCGGTCCTCGTGCAGCGACGGCTGTGGTGGATGCATGGGGGGGGGGGGTCAACCTCCTCCTCTCCCACCGAAATGAATGAATGATTAATTTAAAACTTAATAGTTATTTTATCTTATGTACCTAAAAACAATTAATAATTCAAAAGAAGTTAAAATATGCTAGAAAAAAATGTTTTGGTAAGAAAAGTGAATCTGTAATAATTTGTAATTTTTCAAAGGTTCTAAAAGGTATTGGCACTTTACTACTTTAAGCTCAAAAGTTTGAAATTGCATGACTACAATACTTCGTAATAATAATGCGTGTTTGTAAGTCGCTTATTATCAGTAAGTAAAAATAAGTAAACATATACTAATCGTTATAATATTATTTGCACTGGTACATTATGATTGATGGGTTTCCCTTTTTCGTTTACTCGTTAGAGACGTTACACATTATAATCTATTATATTTATTTATATGTTATAATTATGATAGTCAATCGTTTTCTTCGATATTCAGATAACATCAATGTTCCTATGTATCTATATTGTATTACGGTCATTACGGGTGTGCACATTGTCATGGCATTAAGTCCGAATTAGACTTTAGTTAATGTGAGTTAGAGTTATATTATTATTATAAAATTGAAAATGAAAAGACAAAATACATCTATAACCAACTTTTTTAAAAACTCTTTTTCCAAATCCAAAACAATAATAGAAAAAAACGAAGGTAATTACTATTATTATATAGTTTTCGTAGTGTCTTAGAACGAATTTATTGATACGTATAGTTTATTATTTTTAATGTATATTGTGTATTAAAAGTGGACAATGATAATAACAAAAACATTGACGACCCTGGTGTCCCCGTGACATTAGAAGAGAGTCCTCCAATAAAAAAACAAAAAAATGTGGTGTCACAAGTAACTTCAAATCATAAGGTTAGTTAAACTAAATTAGATTATTTTTTTCGGAGTTTGTCGATTGCGTCCCAGATGCAGGTAAACAATTTTTTGCCCACCTTTTGAGTATTCCGATTGCGTCCTATTGTATAGTAGGTAAGCGTTAATGTGACAAATAAATTGACATATTAAATCTAATATTTTTGTCATACATGGGGTGTGGAGGTATATTTAAATACGAATTGGTTTTTACTTGATGAGTTAACGAACATTTTATCTTAAGGTTGGTACTCTTATCGATTTACGATAACGTAGCGATTTAGTACGTCAAGTGCCTTAGCATCGAAAGATACTTTAAAGTTTAGACTTAATAATGAATACCATTTTTAGTGAAAAAAATAAGAAAATCCGTATAATTGATAAGTTTAAATATTATTTTTTAAATTATTTATTCTTATATATTTGGATTTATTTTTATTGGTTTTTGTATAATTATTATTATTAAAATAATTATTAATAATGACTATTCGTTTTACAAAATGTTATGCTTATATATCATACAACAGGACGCAATCGGAACATAAAAAGGTAAGAAAAAATAATTTACCTATCCTACTTGTGGATGCAATCGACATACTGAAAAGGTATAAAAGGTTGAAACGGGACGCTATCGAATGACGCCCATTTTTTTATATCGTAATAATATAATATGGATAACATAAACACCTAACCTAACCATTCGGGTATGGCGCGTCCTCTTAAATTATAGAATTTTTGTTTTAGTATTTTTAATTCAAAGTTATAGACTTCTAAGTTCTAATAAAATAAATTTAAAAAAAAATTATGTTAAATATGAATTATGTTGAATTTCTATTATATCCGTAGGATTTTTCAAATGACATAGTAAGTTTTTGTCGACGAACATTAAATGATGGTGATAAATATAATGTTATAATGCATTCTTGGATGCCAGAAATTGATTTCAAGTTCCCGACTTCAGGCGATCGAAATTTGAAATTTCAGTATTCTTGGTGTCGTTCTTTCGTATGGTTAGTGTATTCAGCTAAAGAAGATGGAGCATATTGCCGATATTGTGTATAATTTAGTTTAAAATCTATTGGTAAAGGAGGTCATGAACGTCCGAATTTTTTTGTTGAAACTCCGTTTAGAGATTGGAAAAAAGCACTTGAAAAGTTCAGAAAACATCAAGCAAAAAAATATCATATTAAAGATGCTGTGGAAGATGGTCAAAATTTCAAATTGGTTTACGAAAATAAAAAAAATAACGTGATCACTGTAATCGACAAGAGAAGAAAACAACAACAACTTGAAAATAGATAAAAATTGATTCCTATCATCCGAGCCATTTTGTATTGCAGTAGACAGGGTATTGCAATGCGAGGTCATCGTGATGATGGTAATTTATTAATAGACATGCCAAAAGAAAACGATGGAAATTTCCGAGCGTTACTTCGATTTGCTATTGAAAGCGGTGATCATGCTTTGGAGAATCATTTCAAAACTGCGAGTGCTAATGCAATGTATACAAGCCATCGCATTCAAAATGAAATTATTGATACAGCAGGAAAGTTAATCACAGCCAATATTGTGAAACGAATTAACAAATCAAGATATTTTACAGTGATTGCCGACGAAAGCACTGATATAAGCGGCATAGAGCAATTTTCTATGTGTTTTCGATATGTCGATAAGTGTGATGGTAAATATGTAATTAGAGAAGACTTTGTATGCTTTGTTCCTGTAGTAGACGTTACCGAGAAAGAGCTTGCAAATACGTTATTAACTACAATGAAGAACATTTGTATAAACCTGGCTTATATGAGGGGCCAAAGTAAGCCTGAATACTTGACTATGTTTGTGCTACTGTAGTTTTCTGGTTTATTTATTATGTTATTATTTTTTTTTTTTTTTTTAAAGTTTATGATGGAGTGCGTGCAATGAGCGGCAAATTCAACAGCTCTGCGACCAAAGTACGAGAGTTATATCCGGAAGCTATCTATGTTCACTGCGCAAATCATAACTTAAACTTAGCTATAACACATGCTTGCAAAATACTATAATTACATAATCCGAAACTGTATAGGAACAATAAAAGAAGTTATCAATTTATTCTGGCTTTCTAATAAAGCAGGTGTAGTATTAAGAAAATATATAAAAGCATCATACGAGAGTGCAAAACAAACGCGACTTTTAAAATTCTGCGAAACACGTTGGGTAGAACATTTGAATTCTCTGAGTTTGTTTCATGATGCTTACGAACATGTTTGCTCATCATTGGAGGAACTTGACGAGAACAGCACTAAAACTGATGAAGTACAACCCCATAGTCTACTTGCATCAATACGCACTCCTCAATTTATTATAGCTTTAATAATAATAAAGCCTATATTTAACTTAAGGGGGCTCCAGCGTACCATGTTTTAAGGAGTAATATTTAGGCAATTCACATAACTTGAACATTTGGTCTATGTCTATGTGTGAGTAATAAATGAACATTAGTGTGTGTAATCCATTATCGCGTGTCTTATTAAAATGCTATAAAAATGACAATACATGTTCAATTGCGCACGTTATCTTTTACTATTATAATATTACCTTCTCACTACTCGGCTTTCGCTTCAATTTTTAGAATATTATTCTAAATTTTATATTTACATAATTACCTGATCACCGCTGTTGTTATGTATATCACTTTTTTTATTCTGTAAATTTTGCAATCGATGTTTTTTATTTTATGTGCACTTAATCTACGTCTAGCTTTTCTCCCATTAACGCCAATCTTTACTTATTTAGTAAAAAAAAAATTAAAAAGAACACAAAACTTAAGACAACCTTACTGATTGGCTTGTTGTGTTGAAATCAAATGGTTCATAAATCATAGGTAGTAAAATTACATCAGTGTGTTTGCGCTATATTTTATCGTGCCCGAGACCCGTATCAGTTCCCCCTATATATACAATTATATATATGTCAATCCGCGTGGCGCGTGAGTGATAAGCACTTGTCCGAAAAATGATAAGGGTATAAAATGATAATTCG